TATCTTATTCTTTTTTTCATTATTTAGAGAATACTTTATTAGTTTCTGTAATCAAACCCATGTAGATATGACCTTACATATTCAATACAGTGCGTTACTCCTGTACACATGGAAAAAAATAAAAAATAAAAAATGAGGACCAACAGAGCAAATCAAATAGGCAAGGCAAGAAATTAAAAGGAGAAGGTGAAAAAGTAAAAAGAGTCAGCAAAAGGCCAATAACATGTCAATAATAAGTCAGTACATATCAGTTATAACCAGCAATGTCAATGGCACCCCAACTCACCAATCAAGAGAAATAGACTGGCAAAATGGAATAAGAAGCAAAATCCAACAATATGTTGTATACAAAACACACCTAGTGCAAAAAAGAAGCCCATAGACTGAAAGTGAAAAGATAGAAAACAATTCTCCATGTGACAGGAGCTCAGAAAAAAGCAGGGGTAGCAATCTTATTTGCAGACAAAGTAAATTTCAAACCAAAACTGACTCTAGTATTATTGATGTAGGACGGTACTGTATCATACCTCTATGAATGTAAATTATCTTGCATCTGCTTTATGATACGTAGTAGGGACCGTGTTTTATCAGAGCTACATTTAATGATATTACTCTAGAATAGTCTCTTTCCAGATGATGATTAAGATGCTAATAAAAAAATGGTCCCCAATATCACAACAGCAACAGAACTTTGTTTGCTGTTTTTCGGATATTATTCTTTTCTTTGTTTTTTTTTTTGTTTGTTTTGTTTTGTTTTTAATGGAATGTGCTGAATGTCTATAATTTTTTTCAGATGATTGCAGAACCTGGAAAAGCTCTTGCTGCTATCGATGCCTAACATACTATTATTAGTCTTTTTATATAAATATAAATATATATATATATATATATATATATATATATATATATATATATATATATATATATATATATATATATATATATATATATATATATATATATATATATATATATATATATATATATATATATATATATATATATATATATATATATATATATATATATATATATATATATATATATATATATATATATATATATATATATATATATATATATATATATATATATATATATATATATATATATATATATATATATATATATATATATATATATATATATATATATATATATATATATATATATATATATATATATATATATATATATATATATATATATATATATATATATATATATATATATATATATATATATATATATATATATATATATATATATATATATATATATATATATATATATATATATATATATATATATATATATATATATATATATATATATATATATATATATATATATATATATATATATATATATATATATATATATATATATATATATATATATATATATATATATATATATATATATATATATATATATATATATATATATATATATATATATATATATATATATATATATATATATATATATATATATATATATATATATATATATATATATATATATATATATATATATATATATATATATATATATATATATATATATATATATATATATATATATATATATATATATATATATATATATATATATATATATATATATATATATATATATATATATATATATATATATATATATATATATATATATATATATATATATATATATATATATATATATATATATATATGTATATGTATATACATATATATAAATTGAATTTTGGGAAACTTTAATGGTGCTGCCAACTTTGGCAAAAGTCATCCCAATTTACTGTGTTGAGTTGGCATTGTACAGAA